ATTTAAAAAATTCAAGTACCATTTGAGTGAAAGAAAAAATACGTAAAATTTGAAGTAAAATTCAATTGTTTGTTTCCCATTGGTAAGCAAAATTAATAATTTAACCCAATAACACAAGTGTATTTATAGTAACAATGACGCATTTCCTTTTATATTGATGACGTCCTTTCTTTACAAACGACTTCACCACCCACACCTATTTCCTTTCATGGTCATTCTTTGTAAAGAAATTACAACACCGCCACCGCCTATAAAAAATTCTCCGCTTAAGACGGATATTCTTGAATTTTCCAGAAAAACTTTCAACCAATCAGAACTCAGCAGCGTTTCTAGACATAACTTTGGTTAAAAAACAATCCTTTTTTCGAACAATGACAATTTAAAATCACTTGAAGTTAGTTGAGTTACCTAGCATGAAAAAAAATTCTAACTTTTAAATTCTTACTTTTTTCACAATTTCTAATTGGTAAAACCCACACATTTGAATTGAAGCTTTACTCTCTATTATGTGGAAATCATTTTATTTTCAACTTAATTACCTTCAACTACCTCCTCTCTCAGCTCTAAATCAGTCATTTTTCTTGCTTTTACTCAGTCACTTCTTATTTCAACTTATTTCACAGAAAGATTTTCTCCGTGCAGAATAATAACCTTAGGTTATTGGGGTCTGATGACAATTAAGGTGCGGGATTCAGTCTCTGGTATTTTCTTGGCTCAAATGGATGTTCCAATTCAAGTGTGGCACATGATCGAGATCATGAGAAATAATTTTAATGAGCAACATATGTATCAAGCTCCTATCACTGAGAATCAGCTTGGAACAATGAGAATGATGTCACAGATCGCAGAACAAGTTGGAATGGATTATCCCGAGGTTCCTGACTCCAGAGATGTGGCTAAACCTTTGACGATTTCCTCTTTCCGTGGGAAAAAGAAGGATCTGCGGAGAACATAAATACTGTACCATTCGACCAGAATGACAAGGAAGCGAATTTTAATTTATGGTGGTGGAGTCATACGAAATAGTAAATCTGGCAATTATTAAGCTTATTCGAAGAAATAAACAAATTGGAAAGTGTCAGTTTGGACTTTGGACTGACACGTTAGTTTTCAAAAAATCGTATGGTAATAAACACAGCTGATTTTTTTTGCAAACACTGAAAAACGCAAAAACCTCAACGACGACTTTCGCAAGTCGGAACAATGAGAAAACGCTGGACTAAGCAGACAGAAGATTGAAAAACGAACGTGAAGATCCGAAAGCGTTCCAAAAAGTTACGATTTCGTTACGTTACCGCGTTTTCGTTATCTGGATGGCTAAGAGCCAAGATTGCAACCCTTCCCAGTGCTGAAGATAGAGCTTATTTGGTGAAAATCACGATTCTGCAAGCGTCATCCGAAGAGCCCAGAATCTGAATTTTTAACAACTTTTAGCTTCCTGAAATGTTCTGAAATGAATTTAATTAATATGATTTCGTTTTTTTAGATAGTGAGAAACTAAGTGTTGAGGGAAAAGTTCGATCCATCTCCGGTGGATAGGATGATTTTATCAACAGAACAAAAACAATAGTAAGACCTCGTGGTCTGGGGATACTGAGACCAAGCCATGAGCTCATCATTTTGTGTATAATTTAGATAAATTGAGTGAATCCGCCTATACCCTTAAGGTATTAACAGTATGGTCGACCCGATCACCAGAATCACAATGAACTGGCTATGGTTGAGACCGTTAAAAGCAGGTGAAGCTCTGTTTAGTGGCTAGCCAGTCGTCTTAGAACTTAGCTTTACTTTCCGTCGCTATGTACTTCCGGGCGAGTTTTACATAAAATCGAAGGGATGAGGGGTTTTCTGAACAAACCAGAGACTCCAGTGTGATAACTACCAAGTAAACCAAACAGCTGCTCGACACCTCTTTGGTTTGTAACTAGACTAAAATAGGGATGGCCTAGTTGCTCGAATAATACTTTGATAGTTTCACTAAGCAAATCATTTATGCTGCCAAAACATCAATACACATAACTCCTTCAAATTGTGCTGGGGCCAACTTTATTTGGTCATATTTTTTCTACTCAAAGTTTAGCAATAACAATTGATTTTGGCAGTACAAAATGTAAAATTTATCAAAAAACATTTTATCAAAAACCATTCGAGACCAATTAAGGGACAGTCGGAGCAGTTAATGCTTTGCCCTGACATGCGAGCAGTCTTGTTAATTATACGTAGAGTGCTGATTGAAATTATTTGAACAAAATTAGTTAAGTATTCTCAAATTTGATTAAATTAGGATAAAAACTGATGAGGACAAAACTTGCTTAAAAATTCAGCCCAGAATATTCACGTGTTTTATTGTTCCGACTTTCGAAGAAAGAGATCAATTTAGATGCCTGAGGTTTTTTGAAAGGAAACAAAGAACTCTCGTTAAAATTTCATCATTATTTTAGCAAAAGCAGTCCCGACGCCAAAGATCATCTTCGAAATCGAGACTGTGTATAAAATGATGTCACGGACATTTCAAACATTTTTCGCCATAATGTTCTCTATACTGCTAGATTGTTAAATCAAAGACGTTAATGAAAAGCTGGAATTGATCACTTTATGATTGGCTAGCATTTTCTACAAATAGCTTCAATCCTGTTGGCAGCAGACTGCTCGTATCAAAATTTTACCGTAAAGTTTACGTCAAGCAAACTCAATTTTCACAACCGTTGGCAAAATAGAATATTTTTTCTCTTGGTCATAGAAGTTTCTAAGCTTATTATGTTTCGCAGAATCTTTAGTGACTACATCATTCCTACACGAGAGCTTGTTGAAATGTATCAGCGTTACATTAATGCGAAAATGCTAGCCAATCATAGAATGATCAATTCCAGCTTTTCATTAACGAGAAAAAATCATTAAAGAGAAAAAAATCATTAACGAGAAAAAAGAGTCTTTGATTTAACAATCTAGCAGTATAAGGAAAATTATGGTGAAAAAAGTTCGAAATATCCTTGATATCAATTGAAACTTAGTCTCGATTTCGAAGATGATCTTTGGCGTCGGGACTGGTTTTGAAAGGATAATGACGAAATTTTAACGAGAGTTCCTTGGTTCCTTTGATGTCCTTTCCTTTCACTCCTTTGCTCGTTTGGAAAGGTTTTAGTAGCAAAAGTACTATTAGCTCTTAAAGTTTTAAAATCGTCGCGGTAAAAAGATAAATTTGCAGAAGGAGCACAAAGAACTGTTCACCAGGAACGAAGTATCAGACACAGAATCATCCGCTCTTGTTTGCTTGATTTTTTTTGAAGTATCAGTTTCTTTCTCTTTGAATCTTTCATAATACAATTTTGATGCCAATCACAATCACGTTGTTATCTAGAGATTTTGTTAGCTTATTTTTTCATTGCTTTTTTTCCTTTCAGCAATCTTCCGTTCAAACAATGCACTCATCATAGTTTTTCGATCAAGTTCTACGCAACTCGATAAAGCAACTCGATGCAAACCAGCAGCTAAAACGTCAAATCATAGGCGTATTTCAGTAGGGAAAGGAAAATGAGAAAAACTGTTTCTGCAGAAAAAAATGTATAATTGTATAAAACATTGTATTTTTTTTTGATAGCCAACGATTGTTAACTTTGCTAAACAAAACACCAATTGATATTAATTAAAAAATTTAAACGTTCAGTGTAGTTTTTTGTGAACTACACTCTTCTTGATTTTTGTTGGGCTACGTAGGTGGCTCACTATGACATAACTATGCCAGTAAATGACTTCGTGTTTTAGCGTGACTTTTGCTTGAATAAAACACCTACAAATAATCCGTTTTCTTCGGGCCATAAATTGCACCATATTGGTCGGGCTGAAATCTTAAGCAAATTTTGTCTTCGTCAGTTTTAATCAAAATTTAACCAAATTTGAGAATACTTAACTAGTTTTGTGCAAATAATTTAATTCAGCACTCTACGTATAACAAACAAGAATGCTCGTATGTCAGGGCAATGCATTAAGTGCTTCTACTGTCCCTTAATTGGTCTCAAATGGTTTTGATCAAATGATTTTTTGATAAATTTAACATTTTGTACTGTCAAATTCAATTGCTATTGCTAAACTTTGAAAAGAAAAAATATGACCAAATAAAGTTGGCCTCAGTTCAGTTTGAAGCAATTATGGGTGATGATATTTTGGCACGAATAAATGATTTGCTTAGTGAAACTATAAAAGTATTATTCGAGCAACGATGCCATCCGTATTTTAGTCTAGTGCCAGCACATTTGGTTGGCAATTCAAAATTTTCAGAATCGATGCCCGTACGATGTCAACTTTTGGGAATTTGGTCTGAATTTCAAAAAACCCCAGGCATATAAATTGCTCACTTTCTTCGAAAGTCGGAACAATAAAAATACATTATTCTGAGCTATAAAAAACACAATTTTTGATATCGTCCTTTCATTAATTATTTTAATTTCCTTTTTATCCCCACGAATGATGTTCTTCAACCCCATCATAGTTCGTATTATGATTCTACTAATAGTTTTAGATCCATCAAAACCTGAAATGGCCTGTGATCAAAACACCGATTTTATTTTTTTACTGAGTGCAAAAGGATTCTGCAAATGTAAGCGGATTCCGCAAAATTGTAATCTATAATGTAATGAATTCATATTTGTTGGTTGGTTCCACAGACTTTTACGGATTCCGCAAAATTCCATGCTTTTTCTGAGGCAATTTTGAGCAACACAGTTTTATCGATAGAGTGGAATCCAAACGAAACAGCAAAGAAGATCATAGAAAAACAGCAATGATACGGATTCCGTGAGATATCTGTTTATAATTCACAAGTTTGGCACAGTTTTAACCAGATTTACCGGGCCTGAGTTGGTATATTGTTATTGCATAATTGTTCAATTAGTGCAACGTCGAACTTAGGAGAGAATAACGAAACCATACCTCTTAAAAGAATAAATATCTGTGGTTGATCGTTGGGTGAGTGTATTTTGGAATAGAGTGACACACTATTTCAGAATGCACGGGACTACATTGAGGCCAGAGGGGGGAGGCGACATCATCTGGGGCTTCAGCAGAACATGGGTGACTCTCGGGGGATACCGGTGGAGTGTGGGGAGCATGATCACCAGATTCGAATACTGGAATGCCCCCCTGTACTACCAGTCCTACAGTTCCTCCTCCTGGTCCTACACCTTGGACAACACTCTCTGAACAGCAGGAAGAGCCAAGTCAGTGTGTGATATGTGCCCACTCGTAGAGTAGCCCACTCATTTAACATAGACCACTACACTCATTCACGCCTTATTCAACCGAACAAACTCTGCTGCTGCTGCTGCTGCTTTTGCTCCATGAAAACTAACTGCTCCTCCTTCTAAGACTATAAAAAAGTTATCAGAGTATGAACTCATGCCTTTAAGTTTCACAAACTTGGTTGCAGTCAAAAGTTGCACACTTACAGTCTCCCCGGCTACAAGGCTTTCTAGAATTAAATCATTAAGCTTCTCGCCATCCTTGAAAGGGGCATATAAACTGATGCATGTAATTGTGAGTAATAGATGTTGGTGCTGAGCGGGAGGGGGGGGGGAGGGGAGGTCCTGGGAGACTCCCATGTTTTAAGGTAAGGAATAGAACATTCGGTCTTCCAAATAGGTAATAAGATAGGGGATAGGATTTGCCATGTATTAAGATAGGTTTCAAAGTTTCAGATGTTAAGTTTCAAAAAAAATGTTTGCGTCCGAGTTCCAAAAAATTTTTGGCGCCCGAATTGCCCATGTATCAAGATAGTGTATAGTTACTCATGTAATACGACTGACGAAAAAAATCAATGTTTAAAGATTGGATAAAAAAACTATCATGTATTAGGATACAATGTTTCAGTAACATAGTAAAAAGATGGCAAGAAAATTTTTTTTGTGCAGAATTCGTGTTTATGTCCAGAAAGAGTTTCGAAAAACTATCAGAATTCTTAAAAGTTTAGGCAAATTGTTCTTATCTAGTTGAGGGGCACCAATGGTATAATACGTGCGAAGTGTAAAGCTAAAACCAAGTTGTATAATAACTGGTATCATGTGAAGGTAATCAAAAAACTTTTTTTGTGGCGTTTGTCTTAAGAATTGTATTTTTTTCACATTTCCTTCAAAACGTTCGGTTACGTTAAGAATCGATGTAATTTGAGCCAGAAAGTGGTTCATAAAGTGATCTAACTATCAAAAACAATGTCAATTTCAAATAAAATTTTGCTGAAACGTATTTAAATGTAAGCTGAAACGTAATTAAAACCTATGAACACTCGAGAAAATTAAGAAAATGACCGCAAATTTTCAAAACTTTAAGTTGAATTCATTCAGACTAGATTCAATATCCGTTCAACATTACACCTTTTAATTCTAAACTTAACTGATTTTTTGTCCAAGTACGTGTATGCATAGTTAACAAGACTGCTCGTATCAGGGCGAAGCCCTGAATGTTCCGAATGCCTTTCAAGGTTTATGGGGCAGTAATAACATTAAAAAGTTAAATGTAATAAAACAAAATGAAAATTTTTTTTTCTCTAAAATTTGCAATTTTTTATGAAAATCATCCCCCCACACGCCATATAAAGTACAAAAGGATAAATTTCGCTCCTTGTAAGATTCCTTGCAGAATTCGTGTTTATGTCCAGAAAGAGTTTCGAAAAACTATCAGAATTCTTAAAAATTTAGGCAAATTGTTCTTCTCTAGTTCAGGGGCACCAATGGTATAATACGTGCGAAGTGTAAGGCTAAAACCAAGTTGTATAATAACTGGTATCATGTGAAGGCAATCAAAAAACTTTTTTTGTGGTGTTTGTCTTAAGAATTGTATTTTTTTCACATTTCCTTCAAAACGTTCGGTTACGTTAAGAATCGATGTAATTTGAGCCAGAAAGTGGTTCATAAAACGTAATTAAAACCTATTAATACTCGAGAAAATTAAGAAAATCACCGCAAATTTTCAAAACTTTAGGTTGAATTCATTGAGACTAGATTCAATATCCGTTCAACATTACACCTTTTAATTCTATACTTAACTGCTTTTTGTCCAAGTACATGTATGCATAGTTAACAAGACTGCTCGTATTAGGGCGAAGCCCTGAATGTTCCGACTGCCTTTCAAGGTTTATGGGGCAGTAATAACATCAAAAAGTTAAATGTAATAAAACAAAATGAAAATTTTTGTCCTCTAAAATTTGCAATTTTTTTATGAAAATCATCACCCCACACGCCATATAAAGTACAAAAGGATAGATTTCGCTCCTTGTAACAAATCAATTATGGCAAATAAGCTTTTTTCAACCAATTTGGAACGATTTATAAGACGGATTAAATCTCCGCTTACGCGTTAATAGCGCGAATTACATCGCGCGTTAATTGTCCCAAATTGGCCAAAATGGCAATCTTTGAACCCCCATAACTTTACGAAAAATGATCACAGGTAAAAAAAATTTCAAATTTGAGCTCAAGACAACAACACCTTTCAAATGATATAAAAAATTCCGTCAAAAATGGCTAGTTAAAAAGTCGAAATTTGTCTGAAGAAAAAAAAACCCACCCGAGCACAAATATTCCGTTACTTTCGTATCGAAAGTCGGAACAATAACATCAAGTCAAATGATCATTTACATCAATAATCATTGAAGTTTCTTGAGGAAAACTGACTCGGATTTTTATCAACGATCAAGCTACTTTAGGCAAAAAATACCATAACTAAAGCACTGTGTCTAATTCAACCCTAATCAAATCCTAATGTTTCAGAGAAATTTGAAAGTTCTTGCTAAATTTTCACATTTTAACCAAATATATCAATTACCATTATCATTATCACTACAGTATTTGAAAGGAGACAATGTTGGAAGACATTTTAGACACAAGTTTTCAAAACTACATCCAAAAATTAACAAAATTTTTCAAAAAAAGGAGAAAAAAATTCTAAAACTTCAAAATTTTTCACTCATTCATCTGTACTACTACTGAATGGATCTTTCTAAGACAAAAACTGCAACTTCTGGAAAATCTTGCACCTTTCTTATTTCATACTTGAGATCGTTTAGTTAAAATGAAATTTTATTCCTAAGAATTGCCTGAAAATTGTTAAAAGATTATAAAAGCACGTTGAAATGTGATTGAAAATTGACCGGTATCTCTTCATAAATGTTTATTATCTCTTTTGCATCTACAGGAAATGTGTTCATTGCATTTTCTGTTGTTCCGATTTTCGATACGAAAGTAACGGAATATTTGTGCTCGGGGTGGGTTTTTTTTTCTTCAGACAAATTTCGACTTTTTAACTGGCCATTTTTGACGGAATTTTTTTTTATCCTTCGAAAAGTATTGTTGTCTTGATCTCAGTATTGTGAAGATATTTCACCTGTGATAGTTTTTTGTAAAATTATGGGGGTTTAAAGAATGCCATTTTGGCCAATTTGGGACAATTAACGCGCGATATATTTCGCGCTATTAACGCGTAAGCGGAGAGTTAATCCGTCTTAGAAATCGTTCCAGATTGGTTAGAAGAAGCTTATTTGCCGTAATTGATTTGTTACACGGAGCGAAATCAATCTTTTTGTACTTTATATGGCGTGTGGGGGGATGATTTTCATAAAAATTTCAAATTAAAAAAACAATTCATTTTGTTTTATTTAATTTCTCAATGTTATTACTGCTCCATAAATCTTAAAAGGCAGTCGGAATATCCAGGGCTTTGCCCTGATACGAGCAGTCTTGTTTCAGTTCAAGTCCCAGTTTATACTTTTTTCATCTCGTAATTGGACTCACGCCAAAGAAATTTGTAATTTACGCAAGTTAAAATTTAACAGACAAAAGTTTTCTAAATTAGTAGCCATGGTAAAGTTTTTATCACAGCTCCCACTTTTTGTGATAAATTTACAAACTTTTTACGAAACAACCTAAGCGAACTTTTCATACTGGATTGTGTCATAGGATTCGCTTCTTGAAAGAGAAGTGGAAGTAGTTAAACCATTTAGTCACATGTACATAGAACAAAGTATATGGCTGTAAATTTACATAAAATTTAGTGACAAATGTGAGAGCCAATTTTTTGACTGTCATCTGAAAACATTTCAAGTTTGTTATACAGCAGTTTTTATAGGGTTTTTTGTTCACTGAAAAACAAGTAGAACTATGCATCAAATTCTGGTTTTTAAATTATGCTTTTTACGAAGTCTTCCAAGAATGCGTTTTTTTTACATAGATTTTAACTATAAAAATTTGGGGTGTACGTTCTGTAAATTTGATTATGTTTTTCAGTATTCAACAAAATTAATTTGAAAAATTTCTCAGACACTCTTTAAAATATTTTTAAAGTTTTTTTTTTTTAAAAAAGAAACAATACTGAAGCGAACCAGAGCACCATTACGAATGGAGTAATCAATTTTTAAAAAAGTGTCATCAAAATCAAGCTAAAGCCTGGCTTGAAAGTAGAATATTTGTTTTTGCTTCATCTACCATCTTACGAACGAACTATTTTTGCATATAAATGAACACAAAAAGTTTAATTAAGTGGAGAAAACTGTATCAGAAAACCTATGTTTCATATACAGAAAAAATTATCTCAATTGAATTCTACTAAAAACCAGTTATTTCTGTGTAACTTCACAAAAGTTAATGATTGATAGAAATTATATTTTCAAATAATTCCCAAATCTTGTGACACTTGTGAATAAGGGTGTTATGATCAACGAATCGAAAGCTATAGATAGATCTACGAGTGTGTCAATTTATCAGTATTTTTGCACTCAAAAAGAACTTCTGAAATTTCCACAATAGCATCAATTGCAGAGCGTTTGTTGCGAATTTGCAACTGTTTATTGCTTAAGACTTCAAATTTATTGAACAAACTTATTATTCGTTTCGATAATAGTTTTTCAAAAAAATTTCCTATAACAGCATTACGAGGCCAAACTGTGCATTCTCTGCAATGTAAGCGAAATCCGCAACAAGCCAATATCAGATTTGTCGCGGAATCCGCAACATTGCAACTTTTCTTTGATCTTCTATGCTGTTTTGGATTCCACAAACAAATACCTAAATCATTGTACCGCTCAAAATTGCTTGAAAAATAGGCGAATTTGCGGAATCCAGAACAGTTTGTGGAATCCCCAAACAAATAATAAAACATTTGTATCGTTAAATTGAGCTGTTGCGGAATCCGCAACTGTAAGTAGAATCCGCAAATTGTAAGTGGAATCCGCAAACTGTAATTGGAATCCGCATTGTGTTTGCGGATTCCCTTTACATATATTTATATGTGTAGTAGCCTTAAAAATTATACCTTTTAAATACATGATTTGAATTCACTAGAATAAAAAATTACTAGAATAGATCAGTGTTTGAATTAATGGAATCCCAATTACTGACCAGTAATTGGGATCGATGAAATCCCAAATACTGAACTAATTCGACGGTTTGCTATGCGTTGGGTTTCTAATCACTCTCAATCTAATGACTCCAAATAATGGACATATTCCGTATTTATTCCACATTATTCCAGTATTTGGGATTCCATCAATCCCAAATACTGACCAGTATTTGGGATCGATGGAATCCCAATTACTGAACTAATTCGGCGATTTGCTATGCGTTGGGTTTCTAATCACTCTCAACCTAATGACTCCGAATAATGGATATATTCCATATTTATTCCACAATATTCCAGTTTTTGGGATTTCATCAATCGCAAATACTGACCAGTATTTGGGATCGATAAAATCCCAAATACTGACCTAATTTGGCGATATGCTGTATGTTGTGTTTCCATACACTCTCAACCCAATGACTACAATTACTGCATTTATTCGGCGTTATGCTTTTTAAATCAGTATTTGGGATTGACGCAATCCCAAATACTGACCTAATTTGTCGATATGCTGTGTGTTCCATACACTCTCATCTGAATGACTCTAAATATTGAAATTTTTCGATGTTGTGTTTCCAAAATACTAAAGGATGACATCCATCGATTTAGGTAACCAATGTTTTAAGACTCGTTCATGGATTCCACTGACAATGGTTAAGTCTTTGCTTTTAAATTCCGCATTGCTAGAGATAAGAATTTCAGCTCAGCTTTTAATTGTTCATATGCAAGTTCAGTATTGAACAAAGTTCGGAATCCACTTACAGTTTGCGGAATCCACTTACATGTGCGGATTCCGCTTACATTTTGAGGAATCCACTTACAGTTTCGGAATCCAGAACAACTAGCTATATTTGCTTGTTGCGGAATCCGCAACAAAACAAATGTGCCCACAAAATTTACGTTACAGGTATATGTATGCGGAATCCACTGAATTTTTGTTTGTGGAATCCACTCACATTTTGGAACATATTTTGAGACTTGTCTCTGGATTCCAGGAACATACAGACACAAAAATGTTTGGCCTTGCAATGAGGAACTAAAGAAATAGGTCTATAATTGCATGGAAGTGACTTGTCTCCTTCTTTGAAAATAGGAACTAACTTTGCAGTTTTAAGACAACTGGGATGAATTGCTTCGCTACTTATCTGGTTAAAAAAACTGGTCAAATGAGTGTTATAAAAAGGTTAGTTTTTTGATTAGGTAATTTGACAGACCCATGTCATCTTCAGATTTTTTGCTCGGCAGTTGTTTAATTGTGTCATGAAATTCCTGTTCATCAATTTGTTACAGGAAGAAAAAACTTGAATTTTAAACGAAAATAACAAATATTCCGTTACTTTCGTTACGAACGTCAGAACAATAAGAACTTGTGACAGGAAGAAAAAGCTTGTAACTGCAATAATTTTGGAAAAGTCACTCGTTTTTTGAAATCCAGATAACAATTCTGGACCGATTGTGACAAAATGGTCATTCAATTCTTGTGCAGTCAGTTATAGAAATTTTTTCGGTATTTGAAGTTTTTTCTTATTATCGCCTTTAACTTCTTAAATATATAGTATATATAAATATATATATAATATATTTTTTGAAAATATATTTAATAACTTCTTAAATATATATTTATATTTATATTATAGGCATATGATAAAAAATTTTTTGAAATTCTCCTCGAAAATGTTTTGTGGGTATTTTGGAGCTGTCATTTTGTCCCCATACTGCAGCAAGTGAACGAAGCTCTTTTCACGAACATTTTTTTCTCCTAAATATTTTTTAAATTGTTTTCTAGATTTCCGATCATAATTGAAAGTTAATGAAAAAGCATCACACCGCTTATTTGTACACAATTAGCAAAATACTTTTTATAGTGGGAGGTCATCAGCGTAGTAGAGTTTTTTGAGGAGTCTCATTTGGGCAGCTGCAGCGAGAGAAGCAACAGAAAACACAAACATGCAGACAGAAATAGCGAGACAAGTGGTGTTGAATCCATAGTGGCCATACATGGGGCCGGTGAGCCAAGTGGCCCCTGCTAGTGCCCCTATGGAGCTTAGGTTGTTGATCCAGGTAGAGACGAGGAATCTGGTCTGTGACTCATTTTGGAACCCGTAAACTTCAGCCACTCTCTCGTAAATGAGGTAGGCCGGAATGTAAGTGCCAGCAGCACACGTGCCAGCTATGACTAACATAGTGGCCAGGTACCACACAGTCTGTAGACTCGGTATCAAGTCGGGCAGGAAGAGAGCGAAGAAGGTTGCGGAGAAGCCGAATGCCGACAGAAGAGTCACGTGCATTCCGAAGCCCCTGAAACAAAATACCCCACCAAATTAGAGTTTTCTTAGAACAACGCAAAAAAATAGATTTCGTCTAGATTAAAAAATAATCATGGATAATTTGTTAAGTTTTTGAAAACTCCCTTTCGAACAGTCTGGATCAGCACGTATTTCATCTTCCAGAAGCCCTTTAATTTCATTATTAAGCTCTTATTTTCAGTTATTTGGTTACTTTTGGTTATTTTTACTCTCCATAAGGTGTACAAATTGTCGTGTTTTTTCTAAAAAAATTTTCTTAAATTAACTTATTTTTTTGCCAATTTTCACCCACAACCTATCACCAACAACCCAAAAGGATGTAATTAGCCTGTAGCAAAGTGTAATAACTTCTAATTTCAATGCGTCAATTCAATACAGAACGATTGCCCAGTCGGATTATATGTGCGCTCACGCATAAGTAGAACAAATTACATTGCGAGCTTATTGATCCGAATAATCTTTAAGAAGCCTTCTTAAATTTGAGGCCAAAGTTTAATATTTTACTGATTATTGAAAAATTTCAAAAAATTTTCAATCAAATACCGCAAATTGACAAGTCAAACTTCATCTGACGAAAAAACTACCGAAAGTTGGAACAATTATAACGGTTAGAGCAGTCCCAAATTCAATTCCTGGCTTATTTGCGGAATAATAATTAGAAATTTGTCAGGAAAGAAAAACCAATCCGAGCACAAAATTTTTTTTCTTCAAAACTTGGAACAAAAAGACTGCTCATGTCAAAGTGAAGCGATCGATGGGACCAAGTTAACATCCCCCCCCCCCCCAATCCGTTTAGGGGGAGGATCTTAATTTGGTTCTGAGTTCCAATTTTTAGCCAATCAGAACAGAGCATTTTACATGCAGTGCTAAGTAAGTTTAAATTGAAATGAACGCTGGGGCGGAGGATTTTACCTTGGTCTATTTCGGGGAAAAAGGGTGTATTGAATTGATCCCATCGATGTTCTGGCTGCGGTTTAAGGTTATGATGAAGCTCTGATTGATTAAAATGTTGATAAATAATAACAATAAAAAATCGTTCTTTGTTTTTTAGCTTATGTCTGACCCACGTAGCTTTCAGGTGATACAAGATTATTTGTCAAAAAGGCTAGATAAAGGTAGAAATTTCCCTGGAGGAAAAAAACACCCGAGCAGAAACATTTCGACTCTTTCTTCGAAAATCGGAGCAACAAGACTTCTCGTATCATGATAAAGACTTGAATTTTCCGACTGCTTTTCAAGGTCTATAAAATGTTTACTTCAAAAAAGGATGCAATTTTCAAAAGAGGAAGAAACCCCAATTATTTTGAAGATGTTTGTTTAAAAAGTATCTACCCGTGCTATGTAAATTACTGAGTGATAGATTTTACATTTAGAAAGTCTTTAAATAGACTAAGTAGCATGCCTTCATTCAGTTTGGAACAATTTCTGAGGCTGATTAAATCTTCGGTTACGCGTTAATATATCGCACGTTAATTGTATCAAATTGGCCGACCTGACAATCCTTAAACCCCTATAACTCTGTAAAAAACAATCACGGGTAAAATATCTCTGTAAATTTGAGCTCAGGACAACAAAATTTTTCAAATGATATGAAAAAACTGTCAAAAATGCTAGTCAAAAAGTTGAAATTTGTCTGGAGAAAGAACCACCCGAGCAGAATTATTCTCTCTTTCTTCGAAAGTGGAAACAAAAACATTGTTCGGAATGGGTCAAGATTTCAAATGCAATTTCAAGGCATGCTACTACCTGTCAACAGCTAGCCCATAAAGGACGACCATGAGAGAGTTTGGCACGTTGAACAGCAGAAACATGAGGCCAATTTCAATCGCATCCATCGAGAACTTGTCCTCCAAGTAAAGTGAGAGACAAACTTCGAAGAAGAGACTTTGAGCCGCCACCACTATACCTGTGAAAGCAAAGTATCTCGAAGAGTAACGAGACTGTTTGTGTCAGTGAAAAATCTTCAATGCTCCGAAAAATTTGAATTTTGTTTGCCATTCCTGATTTTGTTCTGACCTTTTATTTTAACCCCACATCCCACGTAAAGTGCAGAGTAATATATGATGCGTCTGGTACCATGTTAAAGAGAACAAAACGCTTGCCTCATATCAATTTCGAAATGATTTTATATGCGCCGTCATTGTATTGATAACAGGGGCGGATCTAGGATTTTCTCGAGGGGGGGGGGCGGATTTTCAAAAAAAAATTCGAAAATTTTGACGACCTTTTTTTTTTTTAGGTCGACCAAATTGATTTTTCGAGCTCTCCCAAAGCAGTGTTTTCCCCTTATTTTCCCCTTGTTTTCCCATTATTGTTTTTTTTGGCGCGCGCTCCCCCTCAAAGTTAGTATATATTGGCGCCCAAGGCGCCTTTAGAAAAATTTTAGGGTCGGTCGGGCAAAAATGGATTTCTGAAAAAGTATCAAAGGGGGGACCCTTTGGGTCGGCAGGGGGTCGAATCCCTGAGAAGGAGAAGCGTCCGCCCCCCCCCCCCTAAATCCGCCCCTGATTGATAAAACGAATTATATCGCACCTGAAGTTTTTGATCGACGAATTATAAAGAGACGGAATATTCGTGCTCGGGTGGTTTTTTTCTCCAGACCAATTTCGATTTCTTAATTAACCATTTTTAATGAGATTTTTTTTGATATCATCTGAAAAGTACTGATGTTCTGAGCTATGTAAGCAAGCCTAAGCGACGAATTAAATCGTTCCAATTTGAATAAAGGCAGGCAATTTGCTCCCATTAATGCGTTACTGGACCCAATATGTGTCACACTGTACTTTACATAGCGCGAGGGGTGATGAAATGTAAAATGATGAAAAAAATTTCTCGAATTTTCTCAAATTCTACCTCGAATTTTTTCTCGAATGTATTATAAATTAGGACAAAAAAATTTAATCTTTGATTTTAAACGGCAGTCAGGGCTTTCGCCTTGATACGAGCAGTCTTGTCTCAGTTTAATCCATTGTAGTCAAAATTGTACCAAATTCAGTCCAGCATAATTTGAACTATTAACAAATAGTCACAGTTAAGACTTGAAATTAGAGCGTGGGACATCAATATCTCTCATATAAGGACATAAAGCTTTGCCAAAAAAGGCGGCTGTTAAAAAGTCTAAATTTGTCCGGAAATAAAATAAAGAGGAAAATATTAAATAACCGGGGACGATTATTCGGTCACTTTATTAAGAATTAGAAAAAACAACCTTTTCAATAAACTAAATATATGCAGTTGATATTTTTCAAACACTGCGTTGTTTCTACAAAAATCTAGACTTGTTTTTGACCTATGTCATAGCCTCCAAAAAGTGATTAAGTTGTGTATCGTTGGGTTTAATCTTAGCTTAGCGATATTGTCTTGAAAAGAGACATGAAGAAAGTATGAACTTGAACTACCTAGGAGACTGAGAACAATGAGTCCTGGTTTTGCGACGAATTTGAAGTAGGCCCAAGGATCGAACAGCAGTTGCTTGCCTGTCATCAAATCCTCGGAGGCCTCAACGATCCCTCCGCCAATCAGAGGTGTCTGCAGTGAAGACACGCTAGTCCTGGCCGGGTGGTTCTCGACGGAGAAAAGCCCATTGACTCTTTTGATCCGACCACTGCTCGTGAGCTGTTCTGATCGGATTTGAGTGGAACAAGAGAGGTTTTGAGGAAGGTAGAATGCTGCCACCACTGCCGATAGAGCGGCCAGGCCTCCCGATATGAGAGGGGGAGCGAACATTCCGCAGTAGCTGTAGAGAACACTTCCAAAGGGGGGACCTACCAAACATCCAAGGCTGAAACCAGTTGTGAAATTTGGAACCTTGAATCTACATAGCTCTTCTAAATGCAATATCGGCTCTTATCATTGTTTGAAAAAATGTCATCTTCTAATAGCAGCAGCACTTTCTTACGCTCACACCAGTTTTGGTTGGATGTCGTTTAAATTTTGCTATAAATATGGAAAAAAAAGACCATTTGTACGTTCTTATTTCACGCTTGATCCCCTCAGCGGCTGTCGGCGAAATCAAAAAAGAGCTTTGAAGTAGGCGAGCGATGTAAATACTTTTGATAACAAAGCGACAACCAGCAGTGAGGAGGAAGAGGAGCGTCCCTCTAATATCAGTATAAATAGCTTTTAATTTTCGTATAATGAAATAATTTCGACACTTCACTCGAGTCATTTATATTCTTCTCATTTCGGACCAGTGTGGAAAAAGAAGAAGGATGCATGTGTTTGTTTTGGGAAGGATTATTTGCAGTGGGATACTGTGAGGACAGTGTACTTGAGCAGTGCCTCTGCACATGCAGTGATGCTGCCTGCTGCTTCTAAGTGGACAGAGGTGATGAGGGGCAGAGTAGTGGCCAGACTGAAGGCACTCCCGATCCCCACCAGGAACTCCATCCCCACAGAGAGGGAGAAGAAGAGGGCGCCAGAGTGGACCCACTGCAGCACGGAAGTGGCCATGGCCGCCAAGCTCAACAGCACCATCCCTCAACAACACAACAAAAACACAGTAGAAAACCACTCGCTTATATCAACTCACTCAAAAAAATTGTCAGAAAACGTATGTAAAAGACAAAATTTTTTCTTTGCACGACGCTTTTGGTTTTTGGGTAAACTGAAAGTATTTTAAAATCATTTACGAGTAACAGTTAACACATTCTATATACAAATAGTCACATACAAAACATTCAACTGCCTGGAAGGGCACACCTAATAAAAGTTCAACTCATGGTCGGTGGGCTCAGAAGTGACATTGAAGAGCATCTTGGAAATTGAGCACCCGGGTTGACCTCCATACACCGAAAATGTTTACCATACAATTCCATACAACAAGTGTATGGAAAAATGCGTATCATACAATTTTCCTACAATATCGAAAAATTGCTGAAAAAAGATAGAAACTAATTTCTGCGGCTGCTTGATTCTAATAAAACAGTCTGGTGATGAAAAACCGAGGTTTTTGTTTTTCGAAAAAAAAGCTTATCATACAATTCCCATATATGGAAATTGTAAGACTAGCATTTTTTGATGGCGACACGAAAAATTTTCCACCTAATTTTGAAATTGCCCCCAATTTTTTTTGATTTTTTTTTTCACCAAAAATCAAATTTTGTACTCAAATAAATCTTTTCTTACAAATAGGTTTTTGCTTGCAAATAATAATTTTTGTGTGCATAACGTAGTCCTGGATGCACTAATGAAAGATTTTTTCCTTTTCGCTTAATAACTTTTTCAAATACTCTGTAAATTTTTATTTTTTTGTTTTGTATGGCATGTTTATGTATGCCTTGATCAGGGTCTGATAATTTAAAACTCAAATTTTCAAAAAATCATCCTTGAAAAATTTTGGCAAAATTGTAAAGTTTGTTATATTCATTATATGATTTGTGAAAAACAGCTCAAAGACAATGCAGGTATTTTCCTATGGATTGTAAATGCAAGACCATCCAACCTTTGATGCTTTGAGTAAACCAATGTCTCTGTCACTTGCATTCAGTTACCAACACAACCCAAATTTTTCAGAAATTAAACTTAGCCAAAAAATCAAGGTTTTGGTTTATGAAAAAACACTTTTCAAACAACTTTCATATACGGAAAAATGCTTGTCAAAGAGATTTCATACAATTTTCTGTACGTATGGAATTGTATGACAAGAAGTTTTCCTCATATGGAAATTGTATGATAAGAAGTTTTGGTCAGCCCGGGTAAATTTAAGGTAAAGCTTACCTTATGTTCAAGGGACCTACAAAAAAACTAGATCAACTTCAATAATTTTAATTCAAGATCGGTTTAACTACCCGCGTTGACCAAACTTCTTAGCATACAGTTTCCATATAAGAACAGAAAGTTATGAACTCATTATGATAAAAAACTTCCGTAATTGAAAATGGTAACACCAGCACTTATTCCATGTATCAAAAGTTATTATTTTTCAAGTTTTGCTAAATAGATTGAGTTTTGGTCGAAATCAATCAACAAAAATTTTTTCTAACAATCTCAAGAGCTCTATGCACTTCAAGTGATATAGCAAAATTCCGTTCAGAATCGAAGCTGCATTACGGTCGACGAAAGGGCTTTGGAAAAAAAGCCAAAATCATGGGTCAAACATGCTCGATAGAGTTGAGCAGGGTCGGTCTAGTCATGGGACGAAAATTGGCTGGAACGCAGGTGCGGATTTAGGGCGTCCCCCTCATAACAAAAGGGTCCCTTCTTTGGTATCATTTCATGGAATTCTGTTTCGGCCGACCAACCTTAAAATTTTTCTAACGACGCTTTGCCGCTAATAAATACTAATTTTGAAGGAAAGCGGACGCCGAAAAAAACGTCATTTTTTGATCAACCGTCTCCAAAAAAATCCCAAAAACGGTATTTTTGACCAGTTCTTCAAAAATTTGTCTGCAGCGCGAAACTTTTTTTGTCTGAGCTGGGTTCTTATAGGGATCTGGGAGCGCTTGGAAAATCAATTTTGTGACCTAAAAAAAGTCGACAAAATTGCAATGGGACCAAAAACAAATTTTTTAACTTTAAATAAGATTGAAGCAAAGTGATTGTTGATTCTACCTGACACGCAGAAGAGTCGTTCTCTGCTGGGTGTGATGGTGAACATGGCGAGAAAGGAGAAGAGGAATGTGGAGACGTCCATCATGCAGAAGCAGAGTCCAATCTGCACAATGTCCAGACCCCTCTTGCTCGCCTCCAGAGAAAAGTATGACGTCATCACTGTCTCCTCAATTCCGACAAAAAAGTAGAACATCAGTCCCGAGCTGATTGCCACGAACTTGCGCAGTCCAAATTCCGCCATAATTTCCAGAAAATTTTTGTACAAACAAATTGAAATTGAGGCGCGAAAATGAGAATCTAACGTTCAAGTTACAAATTACAAAAAAAAAACAATGAAGCCCACTAAAGGTCTTCAAAGTGTCTGGCTAGGTATCTCATGTCGAGGTCTGCAACTTGTATCCGGATTTTCGCGGCAAATCTGGAAACTGAATGTTCAAGCTTTCCAGACTTAAAAGCTATTCGCTATTCGGATATTAGACTCGGTTGTGATGCAACGTTCAAAGTGTGGACATAAATGTGGGACCTCGAGACGGGAGATACAACATCGGAAGAATGGATCTCGGTGCTGATGCAAAATTGGAGATCAGCTGGGACTTGAACTGATTCGGGGCATAGTAGTTATAGTCTGGTCCTCCTATCTATATGCAAACATATGCGTGACTTGATTGATGGTTGTGGCCACTATCGCATCTGAACAGCTCATCAATTTCGTTTCACGCGTCTAGTTAACCAGGTTCAACCAGTTTCAAACAAGAGCCGGTAGCAAATCATTACCAAATTCAATTATGACTGCAATAGAAACACTCAAGGTAGTTCAATCAAACAAACCGTGAAAATGAGCAGCCGGTGTTAAATCTGAACAAATTCATCTTTGCGATTGCCAAAAACGAAAGTGAGTTCAAGTTTGGCTGATATGCCAGAATAGGTGGTAAAACATTAAACTCGTCACTGCATAGGTTTATTATGCAAGTAAAATAGCATTGCTTAGCTCCAGTTACAATATAATAAATTGTTTGAAATATAGATCCCATTCACTGTAAAATGCACAACATTTAGAGCCAAATGAATACTCATCACGAGATTGCCTTGGAACTTTTCAGCCTGTTTTCCATAAAATTGATATTCACACGGGTTGACCTCCATAGACCAAAATTGCTAGTCATAAAATTCCATAAACTAAGTCTATGAAAAAATACCAGTCATACAAATTTCATACTTTTTGCTACAATTGTGTCTTGGAATTTTCAAAGAATTTTTTTTTGTTTTGACATAAAATTCGGTGTATCGTACTAAATAAAAAAGAAAAACTTTTTTTGTCAAAAAAGTGCTATAATACAATTTCCATATAACGAAATTGTATGACTAGCCCTTAGTTGATGGCGAAAACAAAAAATTTATTTTGAAATTGCCCCAAACTTTTTTTCAACCGCAAATTGAGTTTTGTACTCAAACAAACTTTTTCCAGAAAAAAAATATTTTGCATTTTATATTTTATATTTTTTTGTGTATAAAACGTCGTCCTGGATACACAAAAAATGATTTTTTTTTCTCAAGATATCTTTTTTCAAACATGCTAACAACTCCTATTTTTTGTAAGACATGTTTATGTATGCTTTGATCAGTGTCTGATATTTTAAAAATTCAAATTTTGAAAATAATCATCTTCGAAATTGTTTGCCAAAAATTAAAATTTTTTCAATATATTATTTGTGTAAAAAAATTCTTTCACACATCAGGTGGTTTCAAATGCATTGTAAATGCAACACAATCAAACTTTTGGTGACTCTAACTTTGAGTAAACCATGGTTTTTGTCCAGAGCTTTGAGAAATGAAACTTACAAAAAATCATTCGTTTGTGGTTTATGGTGGAAAAATGGTGGACATATATTTTTCATATATGAAAAAAAAACTAATGATAGACCTATCATGCAAATTTGAGTACTTATGTAATTACATGAAAAAGGTATGACTAGCATATTTCCATTTATGAAAATTGTACGACTAGCCTTTTTGGTCAACCCGGGCATAGTTCAATATATGGTGACAGTGGGCTTTTAAATACGATTTCAAAAGATACAATCCATTTTGTTTGAAAATAGCGTTTCTGAAATCAATAATTGGGGTGCGGGTTGTACCGGGGCAAAGTTGCAAACACTAGAGGGGAAGGGAGAGGTTCACTGAAGCGTTTTGCAATTTAGGAAAGTTTTTGCAAAAGAGGTGTAAAAGAAGTTGTTTCTTCATCATTTGTTATATTGAAAACAATTAAATCAAAAGCAAAATGTCTCTTGTAAAATAAAAACCGCTGATCATGCAGAAAAACACAACAGAAGTTTTTTTCATTAAAGAACTATCAGAAATTATATTAAAAATCTGGGTTTTTAAAAAAAAAAAATTTGATTACTGAAATTAATAAAATGGAAACTGGTGACAATAGTTGGGTTAAAAACATGCTTGGATCACTCGAGATTAAAAAACGGGTTGATACTCATGACATCTACATAATTGAGCCTGAAACTTTTGAATGGTGATAAATTGAAAAAAGTCTCTAATGGCGTAAAAATGGGAAGTTTTTGACAAAAAGCGGTTGAGTTATCTTGAAATATATGCAATTTTAGCCATTTGAGTTTCTGCCATCTGCAATATTATCAAATAAGTTCTGATTATTGCAATAAAGTTAAGCTGATTTTTGCGAAAAAAAATCGTTTAACTTCACTAGTACACTTTCGTTTAAAAAGGAAGAAGATTTTACAATTGCATTGAATCTTTGGTAGTGAAAAAATAGAGTATGGTCGATTAAAAACAATACACGGCAGCCACTGCATCAAAAATTACAAAAATGAGTGGTTCGCGTTTTGTAATCAAATATTTTTTATCACTAACTTTTTTCTCTGCAAAATAGTTTTTTAAGAACTGATAATTATCCTTCAAAACATAACTAAATTAAAAGTTTTAGAAAAAGCTGTAAATCAAAAAATATTTGACGTGGTATTTTAAGTTGAGCCAAAGTATATTTTGACTTTTGTACTAAAAGACAGCGATCAAAATAAACAGCCTATCAATAACAATTTTAACTAAAATTTGGACTTTCAAAGAGATTTTTTCAAAAATCTAAAAAAAACTGTCAAAAAATTGTTATCAAATTTTTTAAAAAATGAATTGTGGAAATGCGATAGAAGAATTTTGTGCATGGCGTTCTTTCATTATAAATAACATGGTCAGATTATTTTTTACTGCAAAAACTCCTCTGCTATGACATATTGTGTTTCAAATGGGATAAATTTGAATGACAAAAAATATATCATGATTTTTTACATAAAATATATGTGATTTTTTTGTACTGCGAACGCGGTGAGCCATAAATTGTTAATTGATAATTGCACTTTAAGGAATGGTGTCAGTGACTTTTGAAGAAAAAATATGAAAAGCATTTTTTATAATCATCAATTCCTTGTTTGTGAAAAAAAACAGATATAAATTCATAATCATCGAAGCATTGCTTGTGCGATTTAAAAATAGTGGTACGACTCAACGAGATTTGGTACCTTTCACATAGAAAATTAATGGGAAAAAGAACTTTTTCGGGATTTTAGCTACCAAGCAAAACTTGATCAAGAAATTTTATTCGAAAAAGATCATTTAAAAAGTGATAATTAACCGTCAATAAAGAACTATGTTAGGTTGTTACAAACATTAAGATCAAATAATATATAAAATGGAACCATTAGTTTGAATGAAGTGAGTCATCACCAAAGTTAATAAAGAATTGATGTTTATAACAAAAAACTTTTTAAAATTGATTACTATCTTTTGAAACAAGGTGAAAACGATAGTTATAGATCTTCGTATAATTCATACTTGATAATTTGAGGTTTCTAGTTGCAGACAAAACAGTCCTTGTAAAATCATTCATAATGATTGTTACGAAAAAAAAATCAAAAAATTTCATTATTGGTGATGTTAGTTTTTTATCAACATCTAGATTTTTGCTTGCTGAAAAAAGCAGCATCAGTAATTGTGACAAAATCAAAAACACGATTATTATTCAAAAAGCATGATTCCCATGCGGCGTAAAAATGAAAACATCTCGAATGGCGTCAAATGGATAATTTTCCATTTCGCAGAAAAATGAAAATTTCTCACACGAATCACTTGGAAACTGTTTCATCGACGGGAATACTGAAATCGTTTCGTGAAAAATGTTGAAAAAGTTTTAACTTTTCTTTCTACACAACTTTAAGAACTCTGATCAAAAGCATGAGCTTATTATTGCCTTTATTCTCCAGCAAAAAGGC